GGAAAGAGAAAAAGAAAGAGAAAGAAAGAGTAAGGGAGAGGGGGGAATATTTGAAACTAACCTCTTGGCCGTTCGGTGCGATTATCACGTCCACTTCGTCGAGATGCTCGCGATGTTGCGTGACCTCTGCGTGAATTTCCCGTCCGTTGAACGTGAGATAGACCTTCTGGCCGGGTACGAGGCGCGCGCTGGTAACGGATCCGAAACCTGGGCCGATCAGGTCGCGATCCGAGTATTCGGTGCTGGGACTCGGCGGACGGCCGCCAGGCACGGAGTCGAAGCGCACGGAGTAGCGAGTCTTCGGCGTAATGCTCAGGCCTGACTCGGACGCGGCTGACGCCGGCGTTTTTACGGCGTGAATGACGCCACTGTAGTACTTCCCGTCCTCGCCGGGAGCACACACTCTGGTGCCGATTATGCTACGTTTTGCCAGCCTCTTGCCCGTCGACATTATTCGTGGTTATCTTCGTGAATAAACGATCTCTGCTCGTTTGCGATCACTTCGTAAAATGAACTAAAGAGTTCGACAGGGATTGCACACTGATACTTCTCACAGAACACCGTGTATCGATACGTACTCAAATGTATCTTTCACGAATTCGTCTGTTGTAAAGCTCATTTGCACTGCGCCTTTTATATTATTCCCCCTTCGTGTTACGTCTTCGTCACTTTCCGCGATATACTGACACACACACACACACACACACACAAACGTGTATATATCACGACGTATAAACCAGCGATGGAATCGAAAGATCACACCGTAACGAAAGTAACAATGTCACACGCGATTCAACAGTTCGACACTCGTGGCAGACGATGCAAGCGCGACACAATCGATATTGTACCTGTGAATCGATTTGAAAAACAACACTCTCGAAAACAGGCCGACACTCGTGATGTTGCTCTAATTCTCTTTTGATTTTTCTCTTTTCCTACTTCACCGAGCTCCGTATTGTGATACGTCACTTTAGGTCATCGTTTCACGATAACTCGTCTACACACCCAGAAAATATCGGGCAGTTTTGCGTGAAATTGCAATCGCGATAGCAAAAGCGATCCTAGACCGAGGAAGGACGCGGCGGCCTTCTCGGCCTGAACACAGAACTCAATGTATCAACAAAACGGCGTGCACCGTTGCCTGCGTTCGTCACGCCGTCCGCATGTTCGAGGCACTTCGTGATTGATTTGTGATAATACGTTGTCGTGTACGCGGTAGATAGCATAATATATGACTGTGCTTGCCGGTGAGCAGAAATCCGGCGCTATACGGTAGCCTGAACGAACAAGCGGTACACTATTCGATGGTATACGGGTAGGAGTAGGACTCGCGATACCCGACATGTGACGCACAGCTGAGCGACCGGGAGGGACTGAGGACAGACTACGAAGCGGCTTTCACTGCGCCGGCCGGCTGCCCGCCCGCCCGGGAAAAACAGCTGATAGATAACAACAAACCCACGTGACCCGGCCTCGAACACCGATTGGACGTGCGCGCTGACCTACTTACTCTCATTGGCCATCCGCCCGGACAACGAGAAGAACGGGAAAAAATCGCAGACTAGAACCCTAGCCAAAGCGCTTCGCTCGTTGAGACCCTCCACTTTCTCAGCCCTCTCCTCTTTTCGTACGCCTGTACTCGGCGTCCCTTCTAGCGTCCCTCTTTACCACTGTGCGCAAAATACGCTGATTATATACAGCGTCGTATGAAATCTTACGTATATTCTCTTTCTTTTGTTAAATTGACGTTAAAAAACATATGAAAATATCGATTGTACATAGCTTTTGTAAACGAGTCTTTTGTAATCAGCTGGTAGTTAAATACACAAAGCGGTCATTTTGTCATCAGCTGAGAACGCCTGTGACGAAATCCGAGCGAGTGATCAGTCTGCCGATATGTACAAAGCTCGCGTCAAAGAAACTTCGCTTTGTAAGACCTTCCTACTGCCGCTTGAATACCATACTGTAACATCTTTTTAATGAAATACCTCGAATTTTTTCAAGACTTCAAGTTTAAACGGGAGCAGTGTGTGTATGAAGGGAGGGGTTATAGGTTTCGTGATAATAAAAGCCGTTTTAGCAGAGAAAAACTGTGTTTATGGTTCAGCTGTCAGTAGAAGGCAGCCATTTTACGTCAGCTGAGAAGGTCGGTGACGACACGCGCCGAGTGAAATATCTTTGCATGGCGTTCGAGCTTCGGGGAATGTGTCGCAAAGAACCTCACCTTCGAAGCTATTTCCAAGGCTTGTCACTGTACAGGGAGGAATATATACATTCTATTTATTTAAAAAACAAACGCGAGTAATCGACAAAGTAAACGAGACTATTTAAAGATAGGTTAGCTCAGGTACGATTAAATATTCATTATTATACCGTTACTGTGTTTGTTCTCTTCGTATATTAATCATTTTTACAGTGAAAAATCGTGATCAATTCGACATTTAATTATATCGACGTCAAATTAGTATATACTTCGTGTCAGCTGAGGGCGCCAGTGATGAAACACAACCGAGTGGATAGTCTGCGACAGCGAAGTTACATTTTCTTAGCTGATGCGTAGCAGCTTTCGGAAACCGGTAGACGACCGTGATTGCTTCTCCATTCCAAGTGATTTTTCAAGGAGTATGAAGTCACGAGTACAACGATGAAAAGCCGGCTTGGCCCGAAAACGTTGTCACGCTGATAAATCGATCGAATGCGGCGTCGTCGACGAAGGTGAAGCAGTTGCAGTGCCATACCGTATGCTTGTCATGGCGGCGTGGAGGACAAGCAATGAAAATGGCCGGAAGATGCAAGGGGCAGTGGGGCGGGATGGTAAGGCCGAATAGAAGGCAACGGTCCACGCGTTCTCAGCAGCCTATCCTAGATTTATTTCCGTGGATGTTGCGCAATAAACGGTGCACTGTTAGCTCACTGAATGCTACCCCTCGTTTGGCTTCGAAGAGGTGCCAAGGGCTAGTGAGTAACAATTTAATTGTCACCGGCTGCCATTCCTTTCGTCGTATAAAGGAGCGTGATTATGCTCATTGTGTATATGCATTGTAACGTTATTTTTCACTGTCAATGTAATGGAGACCTCGTCATCTTCGTGTTATATTAACATGCCTATTTAACGCTAAACACGTTTCAGCATTCTCATGGAAACACTTTCGACGCGGGGAATGTCGAATGAAATGCGCAGCATACAAAATTATAGACAGAAAGCTTTTATCGTTTTTCGAAGATCGTTAAAGGAAAACCGTGAGGTACAACAAGTAGTTTCGAGCAGACTTTCACTGCAGCGGTCATGGGACAACACAGTAGGGATAAAGCAATCATGTTTTAATTGTATTTAAAAATATCAGAGTAGAGAATATTTTTATCTTTTTATTTGTACTTACATATTCAATGCACACGTAAATATATTAATCCTAACCTCTCTACTGAAGTATAAAATAATTTAATCCTGATACCCTGTATAAATACAACGCATAAAGTATACATATTTTGAAGCCTAAAAATACAATGTCCTGTAGATAATAAAATTTGCATGTTCATCATTAGTTACAACATTAGTATCAATTTGACAAAATGATCCTTAAAATTGTTCAAAACTACCATTACATAAAACAACCACGTTAAACTCATGCTTTTTGTTTAATTCCTAAAAAATATCATAAAATTATACACTTAATGATACAAACGAGAGAAATTAAAGGTTCACTGGAATAAATAATATTGTTATTTGTTTAACGTCATGAAACAGATTTCAAAGCAACTTTATTCTAAAAATAAAGTTTTCATTCCTGTTGTTTATCGATATCGGTTCTTGTGACGAAATTTATCGCGGTCATTTGTTTTGGTCTGCCGTAAGGTTGTTTTTCGTAGAATCACCCTGTGTTTATGGTACGTCATTATTCCTGCTCGCGGACCGTGTCAGTCCGTTTAAAGGAATTGGTACGTAAGGTCTGACAAATAACATCTAATTCCCAACTGTACCCTCCTTTATGCATTGTTTAAGCAATAGAATTCTTGTTTACTATGATACTCCTCAAGTTGTCGACGGGAAAGTACCGAAAAATTCCAAAAAGGACAAACACCGGTCAATAAATAACCTTGTTTTTCGTCGGCTTCTATTTTACATTGTTTGGTATCCTTTCCGTAGAAAAACACATTATTCGTTTCGTCACATGGGAAAAGAAACAAAAACGTTAAAGAAAAGCATCGAAACACCATGATGACGTATTACCATCGTGAACACATCTACGCGGAATCGTGTTATAAGATAAGATTACGTTAGTGAGTCAATCATGAGCTACACGAAGACGCAGCAATCTCTATCAGAAGTGAATTTGCTATACGTTCGTAAATTACTAGTTTCACTAACGTAGAAAAACCATCGACAAGTTTTGATACCATGACTAATGGTGTCACTGTTTCTTTGACCGTTTCACTTATTTTAACGATCGTCGGTATCATAGTTTCGGGACAATCGCCGCTACAATGCTCATCATTTTGTGTGTGTGACACCTGGTACGGTTTGCTACGCGCCTCTTGCACGAGCCGCCATCTTTACAGTATACATACAGGTGCACCGAGCTACGTACAAGCTTTGGATTTGTCGGATAATGTGATATCATCTCTAACTAATTTCGAGCTGACGGTACGTTTCGATCAACAAAATGTTGAAATATAAACTTAAACTTTTATTCAGCATGTATGCAACAAATAAAAAAATTTATACTGTTTTAGTATGCAGATCTTACAGAACTGAAATACCTCAATCTTTCTAAAAATGCAATTAGTGACATTAGTTTAAATGCTTTCCATGGCCTTAGAAAATTGAGAGTATTGGACTTATCGGAAAATCGGCTTATGTATATTTTGGACGACACCTTTGAGAACAATAACAATCTACGAATATTAAGACTATCGAATAATAATTTCAAATCGCACGTACCAAAATTGCGATCCATTTGGTTAACGGTAAAAATTCCTATTTATTACGTATTTATAATAAAATTTTTAATTTTAATAACGTGAAATAAATTTATATGTAGGAATTAAGTTTAGATTCGTGTCACGTCAATTACTTACCTTCTGACACGTTCAATGGACTCACGCAAATTCGTTACCTCGATCTTTCAAACAATGAGATGATTCAGATGAGCCACACTATCTTGCAAAGGTTGCCTGTTTTGAAGAACTTATTATTAAAAGGGTACGATAAATGAATCATACACAATTAATATATAACTTTAGTTTATTCAGACAATTAGTAAAAAAGAATTATTTAATTTGTATTCTTAATATTCCTTTACGTTTTACATGTTGCTAATAATGTGTGATACACAATTTTTTATTATTAACTATATAGTAATACATGTTACCATGTGTAGATATATTACGATCAGTCAAGAAACATAAGCAAAATCTATACCATCTCTTTCCAGAAATCCATTCTATTGTGACAAAGTTATGCATGATTTAGAAAGGTACCTCAATTATATAAACGTCAAATACGATTATAGTTGTAAGGCAACAGGTTCACAAAAATTTGAGAAAATGGTTATCTTACCCGTCACGAAACAACGCACTTATCATCACTCGGCAATTGAGGAAATATCCACTAAAGAAACTATACCGGTAACTAAATACAACGTTTCAAGTATATTAAATAAGAATCTGTCGACATGTGAACAAATGGCAAATCAAACAAATATCATTCATTCAAATCTGCCTTTACCGTATTGGTTTCTTTGCATCGGTTTTATATCTGGTATTTCAAGTGGACTCGTTATATGTTACATTTGGCTGACGGGAAAGTTTTCATGCACCCGAAGACGCAGGCATCGTGATCCATTTTATAGCGTCTCTCAAGGATTATCTTTGCTGCGGAATTCATACTTACGAGGTTATATTGATAACGACGAAAGTTTGATAGGATCTTGTCCAGGTACTCCGCCACCGCCATACCGGGATGTTATGCTACAACCAAACCTGTATCGTTGTCCATCAATATTTACAAATTTAAATAACAATGGTACTGGACATAGAGAGAGCTATACGTAACTTCAGAAGGTAACTCATTGTTACAACGTGACTGGGACAAAGTGTACACGCGCATTATTCTATAATTTATTTAACGTTGAAGTTTCAATTTCTTTTTTACGCTATATATTTCTCATACAACCTCATTCAATAGTGATTTGCACACATGATTGTTGTTATACGTCGTATATTAACGACTGAGTCATCAACCAATGATGATAATTAAATGGATGGATTATTTCTGAAGAAAGTGAATTGGATAAAAGTACATTTAGCAAGTGAATTGATGATAAACAATCATATCGTGAAAGACTCATTACTAAAGATAATTTAAGAAAATTATACATGTACATATATTAACAATGTAAAAATATAAAATTACAACATACATAATCGCATTTTTATGTCACTTATATTACAGTATATTACATGTATATAACAGCAATTAATAACAAGTCTTTAAGTAAAACCACAACAATAAAAACTTACGCTAATGCCCGATTTGTTATACAATAACTCGGTTCTCGTTTTAAACACAGCAATTTAAACTCAATCATTGTGATTATTCGACGGCTTTAATCATTGCGTAGCAATCATATTACTTTTATCTACGTTTTGGCTTGTGCTTAATGTAACAGTCTTACAACCGATCGTGGCTATTATATTTTCCATTACTTGGTGATCGTACCTCGTACCGCGTAGATTGGTTATCACGCTCGCGTCTTCACTAAAATCATGTGATACCAAACTAGCTGGCAGTCTCATCTTGATTTCTTCAATGATGCCATTCTGTATTTCTAGCGCCAAATTAAATCGATGAATCTTGTTATCTTCTGTAGGCACATCCAGAACGCGTGTTACCGTGAATTTCGGCGTTTTACCGTAATTCCATTCCCAGGAACGAAATTCACTTACTAATTTATCTAAGCCTGAAAACAATAGTTAGAAGTTATCATACTGTATGTCTTTTCAGTTCAATCCCCTCGGTGCTATGAACTGACATTAATTTTCAGTAAATCTGTCTTGCACGTAAGGTAAACACACTAGGGGTCTGATAAATATTATCAACACTTCATGACAATAGATGCATCGAACATAACCTACGTATGATGTTAAAGAGGTTAAGTGCACTTTTTTTTTTTAATGTTTGCATACCTGGAAACCAGTCCTCGGTGGGATTAATGTATTGAAATCCTTTTTGACGTTGAATGAGATCTTGTCCACCATCTTCTAGAACGAAAGCTTTAGTACGAAGAAATTCCCAACCTAATGCATTAATCAATTTGTCCATTCTGATATGAGAATTCACATCTATTAAATTCTTTATTGGAGAACGCGTGGATGCTGTAGCATTTGTTTCTATACCATCCTGTAACATAGTAAACGTATTTTGTTCTTAAAGTATCAGCGTATTTATATTAATGTAAAGCAATCATATGTAAACTGTCTTGTGATAAACATTGCAAATAATTCAGAATAACCAAAAAATTTAACTCTGTACAGATATTTCCATATTTTTAACAATGTTATATCTTAATTAAAAGATAAAAATAATCTAAAATTAATTTCTGCTGTCAGAGCTGAAATAAAATAATTATAAATAAATTTTTCATGAACAATATATATGATGTTTATCTCAAGATACTCTGTACATATGATTACTGAACTGTTTGGTAGACTTTGTACAGAACATGTGATAATGATTAAAAAAAATTTACCTCTTTTCTCTCCAGAGCTAAGCTTAAAGCTGTTTTGTTTACATTGACCAATAGCGTGCAGTGATGATATGCGTTAGGCCGTCCTAATTTCGCTGCAGTACCAGATATCTATATTTTACAATAGTTAAGGAAACATAGGTAATTCTTTCGCGGAGTATATAGCTTCTCTATTAATTAAGTAGATTGCTCCAATTTAGTTTTCCAGTATTACTTTGTACAAAAAAATAAAAGAACTACATTTTTTCAGATAATTGATACAAGTGATACAATTGTATACAAAAGAATAATACGATTAATACGGTTGTACAACATTTTGATATATGCGTACATATTCCGTTATCAAAAGGCAGAAATATTTAAACTTATTGAAAATTAAGAACAACTAACTTTGTTTGATCTTCATTTATCGTTCCACTAAATTTTGCATTGACCAATGTAAAGATTAAACATGTGATTTTTGGAACACCCTGTATAGACAGATAAGAGGTGTTTTTTATACATTACATAAAAGGGTGCTTTGAATTTCTCTTCAACAACGATGTCTTCTCGTTTATTAATGTCCGCTTCTATACCCCATTCTCGATACAGAGCTCTGGTAATGATGCCCAGATTATACTTTCGATTATATCGTTCCCGCGGTGTGAAGAAGGACAAATTCAAATTACCATTATCATGGTAGACAGTGCCGCCGCCACTATTACGACGAGCAAGTGCTATACCGCGTTTTTCAGCCACTTGAGAGTTATGCTCGAGCCATGGGTTTTGGTGACGTCCGATCACTATGCACGGATCGTTACGCCATAGAAGTAGTATATGGTGATTTGTGAAATTATAGTTCTTATAAAACCAATCTTCTAATGCTAAATTGGTGAACACATCTGTGGATTGCGATATGAATACTGACTTCGTAATCGAATTGTTAGGGTCGCCTTGCCTTTCATTGAAACTCGTTGAATATTTATACACATGATGCAAATTGTTATATGGTGCTTTTCGTTTGACAACGATCATAAATTTGTTAATCAGAGACATTTTGCTGTTGTGCATGTGTAATTTGAGATTCTTTTTTTTTCTATCTTTCTCACACACAGTCTCTCTCCCTCCGGTTTATATGGCAATTAATCGAAAGATAGACACGTGTTGGTACCCGATATTAGAACCACACTCCCTGGAAATGATGTGACGTTCGCTCGTGGAATCAATCTTTGACTGTTGAGCTTGTGAGACGGCTTAATACCTCTGTGTACGACAAAATTAACCTTGGCAGCGATTAATATTTTTGTCTACAGGTAGCAGCCCTACTGACAGGATTTTCTTGACACGTCGGATTGACTGGCGGTTATGGAGATTAGATAATCGTGAAGGGTAATTGTTTGATGCAACCACTTCCACGTTTGATCCAGGGAGTTGATACGGTATCGGATACCTAAACAGTCTCGGCAGTCCTTTTGCATTCCTCCGTGTGCTGACAGATTGAAAAGAAACATTCAAATTACCCGCGACGAACGGTGTACGAAGTAAGAACGACCTCTTGCTGTTGATGCGTAGATTACGTTTCCACGATACGATTCCTGATTTTCTTCGTAATGTTGCAACACTTAAAAATAAGTTGTACGAGATTATGAACCTGAGTCAAAATTCACCAATGCACTCACTCGTCGTAATGAATATATTGGCGGTAGGTTTTGATGTTATATGAACTCTGTATGGTTGGAGAAAGTAGAGGGGATCTTTAAACACACGCAAGAGGTTATCTAAGTTCGCAGCACAAAGTACAGACCTACGCGTGATATCGGCGCAACACTCAACTTTTCATGATCTGCCTACCCTCCTGCAGTGTTTCAGTCTCGTAAATATTATCATTCGTGCCCTACCATAAATATTTTTCATTATTTTTGAATAAATATCAAGTATTAAAATCGTTTGTGTTAAGTGAAGTCGTTTACATGAATTTATATTTTAAGAAACAATTTTGTACTAGCTTTATGTATTTTAAGATATTATTTTAAATAAAAAATTGTTTAAACTGAAAATGAATTTTTAATATAATCAGAACAAAATTGTTATGCTATCCGAAAATATGAGAAATTTTACGAATAATGATATCTAAATTTGCAGAAAAACAATATATAAAATTACGTGTCAAATACGTTTCTTTTTTCAACAATTGTAAATAACGTAAATGTAAATAAAATAAAAATGATTAAAACTGATATAGGTTAAAACTTATATATGAGAAGTTACTTAAAAATTATTCATTTGTTTAAATACGTACTTCGTCGAGATACGATACTGTATTTCCGTGATTATGGTAACTAGTCAAATCTCGTGAAAAATCACTTTTACGTGTCAGTTAACATCTCATTCGACGAGAAGGGTAATTAGGCCAGTTGATAAGAATATACATCGTACTGTTCCGTGTCATACGTTAATGTACTATAGCTATAATGTTGATATATAGTTTTTAAAACTATTCTAATACAAATTTTTCAGTTTTTACCACACGCACAGCTAATCGACATTTATATCACTTTTCTTAGAAATCTTTTTATATCACATGACTTTTATCTAGTATTGCACAAATTGTCTTTAATTGCGCTTACTTAAGTGAAACTCCATTATCGTTGTACTTTCAGTGGTACATTTCATATGCAAACAAAATATTTTGTGGCGATTTTCTGGAGAAAGATAAGATTTAAATTTTTAAGAAATACAGATATATCGAACCTTTCATGTGTTATTACAATTTCATGTATTTAAAAATTTTGTTCTGAAATTTACCAAGCCACAGAAAATATTTCATACCTTTATTTTATTGATACATAATTTTATACTACGTACTATTATATTAATAATGCATAACTTCAGTTAGATAGACATTAAACAAATGCTTTATCAGTATTTGAGTTATAATAAATAAAGAAGTAAGTATGTCATTTTGTACGTACATATATATAGCTTTCTTGCTATTATGACTTATTTTTGCATAGTCCACCAATTACAAGAAATTTGATTTATTATTTTCATATTTACTATTTTAATGCGTCATGTGCTAACAAAGTATATGTTAGCATAATATAATATTGTAAGTTGCCATACGTTTATTTCATTTTGAATCCTCGCAAATTTTGTCCGAAAAATTTGTAATATAAAATTGTAACAATGGCTTTAATTACAAACATGTTTACAAAAATTTGGTTGCGTAAATTTCGAAGTAGCGTTTGCAAGAATGCGCTGGAATTCCCTGTTTGTAAGCGCCCACAATTTATTCGCGCACCACCTTTTTCGACCGAGAAAGTGAGGTTTTTTAGTAATACGATTGTTTATTAATAGTACTGTCATAAATCTAATTACATTGTTTCTGGAAAAATTCAGGTGACACACATTAACGACGGAGATCATACAGAAATTCCAAAAATAATGGAAAAATTGCAATATCCTGAAGCGCACCGTGATGAAACCATCGTCGATAATTATCATGGTGTCGAGGTTAGAATAAGAAAGATGATATATTTCTTTTATAAGATTTATACGTAAATATATCCATAAATAACCATATTTCTTTAATAGTATAAGTATTTTATTCCTTAAGATTTCGTAATTCTATTAATTAGGTATCAGATCCATACAGATGGCTAGAAGATCCTGATTCTGAAAAAACTAAAGCATTTGTTGATGCTCAAAATGCTATCACTAAACCTTATTTAGCATCATGCAAGGCACGTGAAGATATTCATGATCGATTAAAGCAATTATGGGATTATCCAAAGTATTCATGTCCTGCTAGATATGGGGATAAATATTATTTCTATAAGAATACTGGCTTACAAAACCAAAGGTAATAATTATGAATGTTATTCTGAGCTTAATATTACTACATATAAAAATTTCTTTATCCAGTGTTCTATATGTACAAGATACATTGGATAGCGAACCAAGTGTATTTTTAGATCCAAATACTTTATCAGAAGATGGTACTGTTGCAATTACTAGCAGTAAATTTAGTGAAGATGGTAGCATATTTTCATATGGTTTATCCACTAGTGGATCTGACTGGTGTACAATACATTTTATAAATACGGAGACAGGTATAATTTATGCAGCTTGCTAATAGAATGAAGTTCAAGTTTCAAGCTTTATTAGTTAATTGCTTAAATAATATACATAGGTGAAAAGTATCCAGATGTTTTGGAGAAGATAAAGTTTTCTCCAATAACATGGACTCATGACAATTCTGGAATCTTTTATGGCTGTTATCCAGATCAGAAAGGTAAAACTGATGGTTCAGAAACAGAAGGTAATCGAGACCAAAAGCTTTGCTACCATGTTGTTGGTAGACCTCAGTCAGAAGATGTCATTGTAGTTGAATTTCCTGAAGAACCTTTATGGAGGATGTGAGTGATACAATTATGTATGTGTTTTAACAAAGTTGATTGATTGTAGATATCTGTGATTACATGCTGAATATTTTATAAAAACACGCTTGATTTGGATGTAAACTAATACACTTATGATATGTTTTCATATTATTAGAGGTGCACAAGTTTCTGATTGTGGAAAATGGTTAATTATTACACCTGTGAAAGATTGTAGAGATAATTTAGTTTACTTTACGGAATTAAAATCAGGAATGAAAATGAATGAAAAGTTACAGTTAACTCAAGTAGTTGATAAACTTGAAGCTGATTATGAAGTTAGTAGCACCTAGTACGAATATTTAATTATTTAGTTTTAATATTTTCTATCCTTACTTCATTTTTTCTTTTTATTAGTATATAACAAATGATGAAACAAAGGCTATATTTCGGACAAACAAAAACGCACCGAATTACAAATTAATAGCTATAGATTTATTGGACTATAAGCAAGAAAAATGGGTTGATCTCTTACCAGAACATCCTGATAACGTATTAGATTGGGCATGTGCAGTTGATGGTGATAAATTTGCAGCTTGTTATATTGAACATGTTAAGGTAAATAGAAGCTAATAATATCAAAGAAGAAAAATTATAATACAACAATAAAAAAATTTGAGTATGAACCAGAGTAAAAATCAAATTATAACATCAGTAATATCGTACATATTTTTTAGAACGTTTTACAACTGCACAGTTTAACAACAGGTGAAAAACTTCGAACGTTTCCGCTTGAAGTTGGCACAATAGTTCATTTTACAGGACAGAAAAGATATTCCGAAATATTTTATCAATTTAAGTCATTTTTAATTCCTGGTATTATATACAGAGTTGATCTAAAAAAAGACGAAGAACCACAAGTTAGTATTACACATTTTATAGAAAACATAATACTACAGAAAATTAAAAAACTTTGATATGTATATATACCTAAACGCGTTTACAGGTATTACGAGAGATTAAAGTGAAAAACTTTGATCCAAGTTTATACAAGACTAGTCAAGTATTTTATACAAGTAAAGATGGTACAAATATTCCAATGTTTATAGTAATGAAACATGTAAGTATTTATAATGCAGTTTTATTTTATTTACATTTAATAAAATATGACGATAATAATCATTTGATTCAGGATGCAGTTTTGGTTAATTCCATGCCGGCTTTATTGTACGGTTACGGAGGCTTTAATGTAAGCATTCAACCAACATTTAGCGTTACAAAGCTAGTTTTTGTTCAGCATTTAAATGGAGTACTTGCGGTGGCGAATATTCGCGGTGGTGGGTAAGTTGAGAAGGTATTGATGTTATTCGAGTATGGTTTCGTTATAAAATGTTTTACAATTTTTTATAGTGAATATGGAGAAAAATGGCATAACGGTGGACGATTTTTTAACAAACAGAACGTGTTCGATGATTTCCAAGCTGCTGCCGGTTATTTGATCGAAAATGGTTACACCTCATCTTCAAAATTAAGTATCTTGGGTGCCAGTAATGGAGGTTTATTAATAGCTGCGTGTGTAAATCAAAGACCTGATCTTTTTGGTGCTGCAATTGCTCAAGTTGGGTAAGTTTACGTCATAAACGTATAATGTAATCAATTTATTTGAAAACTTGTTTTATTACATTATTTTTACTTGTATAGGGTAATGGATATGTTACGTTTCCATAAATTTACCATTGGTGTTGCTTGGGTATCTGATTATGGTAGTTCGGATGACTTAAAACACTTCGAAAATCTTCTAAAATACTCTCCATTACATAATGTGAGAGTTCCAGAAAATGGACAATATCCCGCAACATTATTATTGACGGCTGATCACGATGATCGAGTAGTACCATTGCATAGCCTAAAGCTTATTGCTACTCTACAGCATACACTGGGAAAATTACCACAACAAACAAATCCTTTACTCATTAAAATAGAAACTAAAGCTGGACATGGTGGTGGAAAACCAACCATGAAAGTGGTTAGTATTTGGTAATTTATTGTTACATGTATATATGTATAAAGGTGTAGTTATTATTATGAAATGTTTGTTTCAGATCGAAGAAAGTACAGACATTTTAGCATTTATCGTTAAATCTCTGGACCTAACATTCAAATTGTAACATATATTGAGAATATTAACATTTTTATATTTGGTATTTTGCGTAAGTCTTAACACAATTTTGTCCATAAGTCCTTTGTATTTCGCTGTGTTAAGTTTAAATTAAATGTATATGAGCGTATAACGCGATATTATTAATGTTCAAGCAGTATGCTCGTGTGAAGAAACAATTGAGAATGTTGATTTGCACCTATAGGCAATATTGGACAAGATTGTTTTGATACATTCAAGAACATTATGCTATACTGTGAAAAGTGTTTTTACACTATTATTATACGTATTGCAAAATACCTTTTTAAAATATTTTAGGATGCTTTTTAGCAAATTATTTTATAATAAAAATTTCTATTGTGTCAAATAAAAAATTCATGCAGTATATTAAAGTTTATATCTTTTTTGACATATGGCAATATATATTGTCAACTTTACACTACATTTTTTAGGGTTAAATAATATTAATATTAACGATAATAAGGTTAACATGTGCATTTTACATTTAATACCAAATAATAACGATACATTGTATCGTTAAAATATATTATTAAAATTTTGTCTCACATATTTGTAATATTACAGAAATAAAGAAAGGATAATACTATGGGATATTTGATAATAGTATATATTTCGTAACAAATTTTATTTATAAAGCTTGTAACAAAAAACTATATGTAAAAGTTAAGAACATGCATGTTTTTGCTTCCTGTATCACAATTGATATGTAGTTCTTAAAAGTAGTTTCGTCCGCTTTTTTTTAAACCACATAATGCTACGTGAATGCTGTAGTAGTTATTAATATTGCTTAAAAGAAATTTCAATATTTATTTTCGCAAACAGTATTAATGTAACGGATACAAGTATTTGTACTGTTTCTGATACTGTTCATTTTTTAAGGAACTTTTCATCATCACGACTCTATGTTAAAATATATACCAAATGATTTCAATTGCTTATGCAAATGTTTCAATGAAGCAAAGCTCGCACGGATGTAAGGCAAGCATGTAATACTAAAATTTCATTTATTTCAATTTTAATATAGATATCTATTACAAAAGTTTGTGATAAATACTTCTCATGTTAAAAATAAATACAACATTGCTATAATTATAAACACATAAACGAACGTGTGTATTTCGTCCCTAAACAATTTACGCGTGTGCGTGTAAAAAATTATATCTATATTATATTAATAACTAATGCTTCGTAGGTAGTCGATGGAAATCTCTTTAATATATAAAAGCGGTGAAAATTCTGTAATTCTTAATACTATCAACATCACATGTGCAATACCCTGAATACGGTTAATCATGGCACGTGATAATTTTTACGCAATGATCGAACGTAGACGAAATATTTGGTATCGATATTTGTGAATGTATTTGATATTTAATTCGTAAGTTCGTCACAACATTTGATGATCTAAACCAGATGTGAATAATGCAGCAAAAAATTGTGAAAACAATTTACCCATGTATTGTTCTTCTTTTACTGGCCACATACCCTCCAAGAAACCAATATGGCCGCCGCGTGATGTTACCACAACAGCCACTTTTTTGGTTTCTGATATTTCCTTCAGTGGTATAGCTAAACATTGAAACGACGAAAAGAAATTACATAAAAAAAGAATACAATCTGAAATAAACTATCTCAAATAAATAATCTTAAAAGCACGCGCGACTAATACTACAAGCTGACTGATTAAGGTAATAATAAGTTACCTTGAACTGGTTGAAATGGATCGTCTGCAGCACTGAGACACAATAATGGTACGTCAATCAAGTGTAATTTATCGTGTATGGTTGCATTGGAATAATATTCCTCAACGTCTTTGTAGCCGAATTGTTTCACCGTAAAATGTGAATCAAACTCTCTCACAGTTTGACTCTAGTAAAATAAAAGTAATTAAGTTGATAAGAATATCTCTCTTTATGCAAAGTTACGACACGAATAAGCGTAATTTGAGTAGGTTTACTTTAAGGAGAGTTTCAATATCGACATCAAACATTCCGGGTTCCGAAGAATAGTGTAAGCGTTGTATATTTTTACGGAGTGTGCCGGCCAAATATTTGTTTATCATTAAGTTAAAATAATTTTCTTCCGTGTTCTTCGTCGCGGCAAACACATTCCAAGGCACAGAAATTAAGAAGCATCCTTTCAATTTGCCTCTTGCCATTACTCCTTCTTGAGCTAAATAATTACCTAAAATTAATCTGTAAACAAACATACAGAAATAATAAGATATACTACTGTACACAATGTAGTTATTGTATTGCTACTATTAATGCTATTATCGAGTCGCAATTATATATCCCTTACGATACATGTTTACATTTTACCAGTTTACTAGTTTGATTTATACAGTTTCTTTATTCGTATAAAATATTCTTATTACCCTCCCATAGAGATTCCCGTTGCTCCAAGATGCGCCTGAGGATGTAGTTTTTTTACGTGTTCGATAACCTCCGATAAGTCGTCGCTGTTCGCAGCGCAGTACATCCGTGGAGTCTGCAATTTCACGATCATTCGATTAAACATGTATCATGTTTACACAAATAATAACACAAATCATCTATTCCCATGATTTCATTGCTCGTTAAATTATTTTAGAAGCTTTAAGACAATGTATAATGCAATTTATTTTCATTTACAAGTATATATGTTTTACATTTGTAGTATCGTAAAGACGTTTGCATTTTCTTATTTAGTTTTAAGAAGCATAGGACGAGAATTGTAAAAGAGAAAATAGGGGTTGACAGGGACAGAAGTCAGGCCATTCCGAAACCTCTTGATGACGTAAGAGGTCGACCTAACCTATAATTTTGAACGAAAAACCGGGAAGTAGCGTGTGCGTACTATGGGAGGGAAGAGTTTTTCTTGCAGATGGAGTGAGTGTTGCGAAAATCGTCTAAGAATCGTCTGAGATGTCTTATTAGAGTTATAAGAGTCGTTTTATAGTTATTAGAGTTGCCTGACAGTCATATTTGCGTTGCAAGTTGTATCAAATTATTTGCGTCATTATCGTCATTTGCTGCGAAGCTACAATGTACACGGTAAACTATCATATGAAGGAAACACCCTTAACATTAAAGTTCCACATGTTAGTAGACTAGAAGTCAATAAATCAAAATACAAAAAATACATGTACATACACATGCTTGCTGATTTTAAATCTCATCACGTGAATGCTAATAGGAATGGAATACAAAGTTAGAAGCATTAAAAGAAAAGAAATCCGTAAACGAGAATGCTAAGAATACTAATCCTTGCAATTTTCTTTTTAATATATCCTCGTTTATAATACAGTTGTGATAGGCAGAGTGAGAAAAAGGAAGACTAAAGAGTGGACATTCTGAGTGAACATTTTGAGAGGCGTATCGTTGTGCGTGTAGTTGATAGTTATAATTAGAGTTCCGAGTATTTAAGTATTGCGGGAGAGAATTACAGTATAGAGACATTTCAGCATTTGTTATAGCGTGTTCCGATAACCGTATTGTTATTCAAATATATTTCTTACTGTTTTTCAATTTTATTGAGTAAACCTAACCTAACCTAACGTTCCTACAATACAAATAATTTTCAAACACTTAAACCCCCGGTCAAGCGTTAGTGCGTGTTTTTGCTTGTAAAGTCGAACACTGGATTAGAGAATAATGTGCGGCAATAAAATGCAGTGGTATGATTCACAGTTGGTCTGAATTTGTTACGAAACCGTTAACCTTGTGTATTTTATGACTGAAATTTCTGTTAATTCTACGAAATAAAAATTGATGTACAAAATGACGAAATACCATCGGATATCCCAAATGATATTGCAGATAGCATTAGTGAACATGAGGACATATTCGAAGAAAAGGGGAATTTCGGTGTACCAAGAAAGTGTGGTGCAATTTCGTTCATAAAGTGATTCAGGTGAGGACATTGACGTCAGTATGAACTGGATAGAAAATGATATTCCAGGAATTGACAAAACTTTTACAGATGGCCCAGGGGTGAAAGATTTTCCTGGTAATTTTGAAAGCATAGCGGAAGTTGCTTGGTTATTTACGTGTGACAATTGATTTCGAAATATTTACGAAGAAACCAACGAATGTTGTGATCAAAATTATGAAAAAAAAAAAAATATTTAGCAAAAAAAACTACACAAAAAATTAAGGCTAATACGCTTCAATCACCGAGTGTTTAAATAAATTTTATTCCCGACCGGATGTTCAAGTGTTTCAACTTGTACTTTGTAATTCAGAGGAATCGAAGGTTTGATAAAAAAAAAAAGGTATGAATCAGTTTCCAAGTGTTGTACCTTTAGTTCTACGCCTCCTAGGCCCCTGTTGTTGAAGATTACGCATCGTATCCCGACTTTTTTCGCAGACGAGACAAGGCACTTGATATATTCCGCTTGACTTGCGCCAGTGAGTCCTGGTAAAATAATCACGATAGGCGAAGTAGCGGAACATCCCTCTTCTGCCCAATCCAGGGCCACTTCACCCCCATCCGACAAGGTCAGAATCTCTCTGGGCGACGATTGATTAATTAGAACGAAGGTAAACTGGTATGGTAATTAGCTTGTAATCGCGCACTTCGAGACGAGTGCTCATTAATCTTTGCTTCTACCATGCTGCAGAGAGTTTCGTAACGTAAGAAAGAAAAAAAAAGGTAACGTTTCAAGTGTAACAAGAGTACCAAGTGGTAATTAGTACTTTTCATATTTTTTTTCTTCCTATGTGAAAATTAACGATCGTCGTGGGTAAACGTGTATAATTTTATCCTTTCTATCGAAAGGTTCCACAGTATGGTATTATTCGCGGTATAAGAACGTGTTACCTTAAAAAAAAAAAAAACTTTGTTTAAATGTTGCATCAAATTTCGAATTTCTAAAGTGTTTTTCGTCATTTCAATTATATCTTGTTCGATCTAAATTCCTTCCGCCAATTAAAATTCGAAATTTCCAAGCTGTTTTCGTCATTTCAAATTATATCACTACCTCTATCTAAATTCCTCCTCCCCGCTCCTAAGTCGTTTTCTACGAAGTAAAGATAAAATTAAAGGTAAACTTACCAACCTGCGATAGTGAATAGGCGGCAAAATTCGCGATCTAAGAACACTCGCTATGATTGTCTGTGCCCTCGATTCGAAACACCACAATGTTGGCCAAAATTTGTTCCTCACCAGGGGCACGTGTTCTTCTAAAAACGCTCGGAATGGTCCGTTCGCGCATACCAACATCGGCGTCTGAAAGTCATTTAGAATGCTCGTCACTTTTTCTTCTTTCTTTTTTATCGATTTATTGGTCACAATCGGCCCGATCAACGAGCCAATATTAAATCCGAACAGCTGTACGGAATTGAAGATAATTTATGACCAGTGAAGAAATTGAAACGATTATATTTCATTGTAAATAGACCGGTCGGAAAAGTATTGACAATTCCTGGGGAAAATTAGCTATTATTAGATGCTTGTTATTTTCAAATGTATTATGTACATTTATGACATGAATAATAATAAATGAATATTAACAAGAGATACGAAAATCATTCGTTACGTCAATTAGGTCAACGTTAAATATTAATCGATCCTCGTACGTGTGGATTGCAATATTTACAGCGTATTGTACTCGTTAACTGGACAAATTGTTTCTGCTACGAAGTATATATCGATATTACAAATACAACATTTATCTCAGAATTTAAGTTCAACGTATTATCGTAACAGTTTCGTTCGATTCTATCCGCAACTTTGAATTCCCGCCTTTTTCCCCCCACTCTAGGTAAAAACGAATTTTTCATCAGAAATAGTTACAAGAATAATAGGAAATAATGAACAGAGTACACAGTTTACAGAAGATTACGTTTACGACAGAAGTGTGAAAATGTTAATTTCGCATACTAATGCGACTCCCTGTACGTGGAAAACCGCGCGTGGAGCAGTGATACATTATACTTTCCGGTCTAGTGTCTCAGAGTGCGACGAATATCTGTTTGTCGGCGGAAAAAAACCGTTGGCGATTTTTTAGAAAAGTGCACGTTAAAATAGAGATCGGTATTTGGCCAAGGACAATATGTGACTATACATTCTTTCGCGCTTCTTTTATTAAACGCTTGTATTCTTAATATGCACTTTAAAAAAATCAGTCGTTATATCGTTATACTTTCGCCTACCTCGCTAATCCTGATCTTACATGTATGATAAAGTTGAGAGGAAAAGATTATAGTCGATGTCATTGATACATTTATAAAAAAGTTTTCGCTACGATAGTACGAAACTTCCTATACATACATATCTCTTAAAGTTTCGCAACGAAAACACTTTGCGTGTTTTACAGGGATGGTAAAACATTTTGTATATTTTAAATTCTTAGAACGAAAGATATTTTATGCACTTTAAATTTCTATAACACAGGTGAAATATTGTACATATTTTTTCATAACGAACGTAACGAAAAATTGTATGTTGTAAACTAACAATAATAATAAAGATGAAATATCCTATATGTGCATCTTAATGTTGCGACACTTTTGTATATTTTTCTTTTGCACTATTAATTTAAGTAGTAGGCGTAGTAACTTGCATAACTTTCATTGTTAACTTCTGATATCATATTGCAACTATATATATATATATGTTCAATAGTTATCAAGCACTTATCGTATAAAAACCAAATTAGATCGATACAGAAGATAATTATACCGCTGTTCTATCGACATTTGTATGAAACGGACACGATGAATAAATACAACAATATTGGTTACAGTGGCGTTTCAGGCATGAGAAAAAGTGCAGACACTGGTTGCACGTGTTTGCAAGAAGCTTAATATAGTTGACGTGCAATGGCTCTGTAATTGGTTTTAAATCGCTCTATTCTATGCCGCTCAACGAATGCAATACTAAAAAAGAGAAAAAGTATTATCGCACAGTTTTTAAGGTTCGTTTGAAAAGTACATTTTTAGCGGCATCAAGGATATTCGTAAATATACTGTCGCTTTCATGAAAATAGAATTTTATTAGAAATATTTAATTTTCGCTAGACCACTTGGATCGCGAAAATAAATCTAATCATTTCTCATACATTTGTCAAGGAATTAAACACACCAACATGGATCCATCCATTCAATATTACATTATTCTTGACTCGAGTGGTTATTTAGTGAGCGCGGTGTTACCTGTTCCGGTGTTGCGTGTGCGCGCGCACACGAACGCGCGCGCAATTTGTCCGGGGCAAGTGCCTCGGAGTTTTAAGGTCAAATTAATAAATCGTACATCTCCCTGTAGCTCGTACGAACTATGAAGGGTCGTGCGAGAGTTCGGACTATTCGTATCGCGGAAATCCTGATAATATATCGACTGAACCATATTAGAACGCCCGATAAGAAAGTAATTTGTTCGGTCTTTGATAACACCCGATATACTATTCCAGTATTGCCAATGCACAACAATTGTTGTAAAAGACGACCTTGCAATTCATTTTGAAAAAAGTTTCCTTCCTTTTACATTTCTGTATCTTTCCATATGCATTTTATCATTGATTTTCCTTTTAGCATAACAAAGAAAATTAAAATTGCAAATGAAAAATGACAAGCAAAAAAATTTTCTTTATTAGGAGGTGTGAATTTGTTGAAATTGATGACGGTGTTAATTGCTCGCGTGGAAAAATTAAAAAGGTTAGAATATTAAGGACAAATTGATAATAAAACTGTAAGCATCACATAAAATGAGACAATTAACGCTGGTGCACGTTAAGAGTATCAAATACAGTCATCGGTAATTTAATTCTACGATATCAATTGGATGTTCTTTTCTTGGTAGTGAGTTAAGAAATATCTAGAGATTAAGATTCATTTCTCTGTTGTAGTATCAATAACATTTGATTAGTCCGATAATGAATGTAAAATTTCAGGTTGTACAGGCGAAATTTATCTTTTTAGACATCTTTAATAGAATGAAGGCAGACGTTATACACGCCTGACTCTGAACTAAATGCGGCGCTGATTGAACTTAATGAAGGTTAAAAGTCTGCGGATAAACGGTAACTACCGTCACATATAGACTAATTTGACATTTGAATTTAATTTAAGCATTGTCATTGCGTGAAAATCTACCTGCAGTAGACAACAATAATAATAATTCCGATTCCAAGGTTTTCATTGCAACTTATGAATATTCATTTTCTTAAATGTTTTTGTTGTAAAAACGAAAACAGTACGCCATTCATAAAACTAAAAGTAATGCATTATATCTGTTCATTATTTTTCTGTCAAATCTCTGCATTATCAGTTTCCTCGTAATAAAGTTATTAAGACACCCAACGCAAATGTTTGAATGATCCATTGAAACTTTTGCACTCCTCTATTGCTTTATTTCCGATGATTCGTAATCGGTAATAAATTTCCAGTAAGGACGATGATAAAACTGCGGAGAGGGAAGATGCGCAGGCTTACTCACTTTGACAACTCCGAAAAAGTAGTAGACACAGAATCCAACAGCCAGCAGCGCCCCGTAGTAGGGCCTCGGAATGTCGAGGAATGGCTCGAGTAAGTCCAGCATCGTTACACTCTATCGATATGTTGAACAGACTGGCGGCACTAGTACGACGTGAACGCCGGTGATTGCCAGGACCGTTGACAATCCTTGCTCGTCGAATGCCGGTAGCCAACAACCGATTGCCAAGCTTTCGGACAGCTCACGCGCCCGCGCGCATAACGTTTAAATAATTGGACGGCCAACTAGCTTACTAAACGACCGACCGGTACCGATAGCCATGCACAGACTATACAGAGCATATACGCGCACTCGAAATTTGGTCACGTGCACACCAATGGATCCGCTCCCACATTCATAGACGAACTCATCCACGCTATCCTACATGGATACACGTCCAGAAATACGTGAGTCGTGTGCACAGTTTGTAACGAGAAATTACGTAACAATGATCTGAACTTTTATATCGACATTGCCAATGCAACTGAATTCGTCTCGAACCAGTCCGCACGCGTTGAAACAGCGTAACACGGACAACAAGGTTAAGATCATTAGATATATGATTATGAAGTAGCAGTATGCCGCTCCTATGGGCTTCGAACGACATTGAAAAACATTGTTCTTTTCGTAACACCGCATATATGACATTGTAACGTGAAACCAAGTTCTTTTAACTGCGTTGCACAAAAACATGGAATTCTTTACCCAGAAGTCTCTACGTTGCAGTAAATATCGAGCTCGTGTCATGCTGTTTTACGCGATACAGTTTCGATGCAACCGTGATATAGCTTCGTATGCATGTAACGAACCCGACTGCAAGCCGGCGATACTTCGCTTGCGCTTGTGTTCATATATACGGTCTATGCATCGCTCAATGTGTGTCAGACCGTTTATTTTCAATAAATCGCGCCTATTTTATGGAGCGTTATAACTTGATGAAATTCTTTTCTAACTAAATTTTCATTTCAAGAGTTAAATTGTTTACTCCTTATTATGTACTTTTTATTGATTATTCTTTACGTAACACTGTTTAAATAATTAGAAACGATACTTCTGAGTTCAAGGAAAAAACGATTGAAGATTACGAAATAAAACGATTATACGGTATACCAATATGGTATATCATTTCTTAATATAGAAGTTTCTATTAAAATTTATCATAAGTACCATTATCCATTGTCTCATATTTCTTTACCCAAGACATATAAACACGCAGATACATTTGCGGTTAATGGTGTGGCAAATATCGGCTGGTCAAGCAAACAAGATATGATAGAATAAAATACAATCATCTTTAATAATATTCTAATCATATCTGATAAATGTTTAAATTTTTGTCAATTGTGTTATATAATAATTGCCTGTATCCAGAAAGTGCATGTGCTAATGTGCAATTGAATCACTTGATAATGTTTCGGTAATTTGCTAATCACTATAAATCGTTATTATCGCAATGCACAATTATTTAACCATTAACCCGTACCACGAAACATATTATTACGTATTATTACATACAATACAATTATTTTATGATATACTTAATATTTAGTAATTTTGCAAATACAATAATGCCACTGCATCAACAAACGATAAAACTCGTATTACCATGAGTCGATAAAACCTGAATGTTACATTCCTCTCTAGAAAATATCGTGTCAAAAAGAAGTCTTTAACAAACTTGACAAAAGTATTTGTATTTAAAATTTTCGATTAATTAAAAGAATTAATTAAAAATATTCTAAAAAAAATATAAATGAAATACATTATACAGGTTAGCATAAGATTGTTTTTAATATTCTAATTTCACATTTAACGTTACACACTCTACAATACGAGATAAAAATAATGGAACAACTAAGTACCAAGAAAAATGACTTCTTTATTAAATACAGTCTTATACATTTCATGAACATAGTGAAATTGTATCGTATCAGATTTTATTCATGTTTGGCTGTAAGCAACAGCGAAACTGTAAATCCGGTTCACATATCTGTCCTCCCAAGGATCAACGCAACATACGTTCACACAAATTCGTTTTACGTACACGAAGAATATGTTCCCTTGATAAAAGCCACGGTACGTAAACTAGAATCAAATTGTCACTGTCAGATCCGCGAGGGGATAGCCCGAGAATGAGAATCTGAGTACCTTAGGGGTACCCTAAGTATAGTACCCTTATATTTGTACATGGACACCGCCAGAGAACACTTGCTGGTTGAAACAGGGAGATAGCGTTCGAGCATGGGAAACATAAGTATACATCCGCACAGAGGGAGGAGACGAACATCAAAGCAGTCCAACATCAAAAGAAGACAAACATTTCTTGGTACATTTCGTTAATCAGAAACTAGCAACAAGTACGAAATGTAACGCTACTTGTGACAATTATAGTCTAAGATAAATAGATTCAACGATTGAATTTAATAAATAAATATATATATACTATCACGATAAAGCAAAATAAAACAGTTTGATGAATCATTAATGGAAAAGAAATTCTATAATAGAGTCTTAAAATATTGATTTGGCTTGAATTATAAATGGTAAGTCGTAGAATTGATAATTATAAGTTAACGCGCTATGAATTCGAACCAATCAAACGTAACACTATGAAAGAAGCACACAATCATTTTAGTCCCACTACACTCCGTCCAGTCGAGGGTTAATAATTCGAACAATTGAATTTTTTCATTGTGGAGCATATACCTGGCCACATCCATACTTTCTTTACGTAACATACGCTCGCGTATAATAACACGAAAATAATAGATAGAAATGAACATACAAGCATGCAAGAGTTTCGAATTTGTCAATCACGACGTACTTACACGACGATAACTCGATTAACAACGTCGTTTCAACGCAGAATCTACAATTCGGATTTACACAGAGACACATACACATCCACGCGATTTTCAATAAACTTCTACGTTTTTCATGGATTCGAGAATTTTCTCTGCTGCATTCGAGAGATATCGTTCAATTTTTTCCTTATCTTTTCTCCGTTATATCTAGTCCTAGGCTTTTCTCACAATTATAACTGCAAATGTCGCGTTTGTTCGCAGGAAATCCGCTTGAATTTCAGTATCGGCGAGCGTGAAACGAAAATGCCCGCAAGAGAAAGAGAATAGGGTTGATTCGGTCGACGAGAAGCAGAAGAACAAGAAGAAGAAGAAGAAGAAGAAGAAGAAGAAGAAGAAGAAGAAGAAGAAGAAGAAGAAGAAGAAGAAGAAGAAGAAGCAGAAGCAGAAGAACAAGAAGAAGAAGAAGAAGAAGAAGAAGAAGAAGAAGAGGGGTGATTGATAATTCGAGGACCTTCCGTTGTTCCGGCGATCGATGAACATTTTTTTAGCGCCCTTCGTTACATTAATCATTTCAGCCGACGGTAGACGGATTGCAAGCGTTCTCGAGCGAAATTCGAGCAACGTTTCCAACGTATAAAGATGTTTTCCCCGTAGCACAGAAGGGTAGTTTGTCAAAGATGGCCACTGTTCCCGGCTGAGGATGATCGATCACCTTCCTGTTACACTCTGATTCCGTGGAGATGACGATGCTCGTACGGGGTAGAATGTACAATAGATTCCATTCGAACAGAACGGCGGATCTTGCGTACAAAATATTTCAACATCCTGATGTCTGTTTAACGCGCGTACTATATCTTAGAAACATCTTAATCCTACTTACAACACCTACAAAAATAAAGTCATATATGCCATGGAAGAGTAAAGAGGGCATCACTAGATTTGTTGCGCTAGAGTGTACGTTTGTATGTGTGTTTCTTTTATGTATATGTGTATGTGCGCACGCTTCGACAGTTCAAGATACGTTACAGTTCGCTCCACTGACTGCCGCGTATCTTGCTGTAATAGACGTTCAGTATTGGATGTTGAAATCTTTTCCCCATATATCATGAACTACGACCGCAACTCGACTCGCGAACGTATTTCGCCCAGGTACGGGTGGGGCTCAGGTCACCCTTTCTAAGCCAGCGCTGGTCTTGCAAGATCTTGCGATAGGTCTCATCGTCGTAGGTGCAGGTCAAGCTCTTTCTCAATTTCGCCGCGCCTGTTTCGAAATTGGCTGGCTGGCTACCGACTAACACGTGTAGATCGTTCTTCACCTGTATCGCCCAGTCCCACATGTCTGCGATTACGCAGTTGCACACGAACGGATTGCCCAGTAAATTGAGCGACAATAAGCGTGGATTTCGCCTGAACATCCTGGGAACGACGGTGGTCAGCTTGTTGTTGCTCAGATTTAAATGCTCCAACATTCGTAGCTTATTCAGGCAAGATAGATTCTCTGAACCAGAGATGCGGTTACCAGAGAGATTCAGCTCAGTGAGGTTCTTTGTGTTGGTGAACAGATTCTCATTCAGATGCACCAGATTGCAGTTGCTCAGGTCAAGCATTTCGATGTTGGACAATTGTGTCGGGAGGAGAGAACCATCCTCGGGTACTTCCAGTGGATTTCCGCTGAGCTTCAGCTCGACGATGTCGGTGTGGACGCGATCGCCGAACACTTTAGGATCTATCGGTGTCTTCAGGTCGCAGTTGTTCAATTCTAGACTCTCGAGTCGCGTCAAATTAGCGAACAATCCTTCCTCCAACGTATGCAACGTGTTTCCAGATAATATTAGCCTTTTTAGAGTAGTCATATGAGCGAATGTTTCGTTTCCTAGGTAACCGAGATTACAGTAAGACATGTCCAGGTATTCTAACGACTCTAACGGGTTCAACAAACTAACGAACGCGTCTGACAACGGATTATGCGAGATGTCCAGTTCTTCCAGGTGCTCGAAAACATGGAACGCGTTCGGCAGACGTCGCAAGCTACAATTACTCAACGAGAGCTTGTGAAGTTTTGGCAAGTGACGGAGTACAACGGTCAGATCAGCAGCGAACATTGGGTTGCCGCTCAAATTCAACACACGCAGTTTACTGGAATTTCTAAAGGCCTCCTCTGACAAACGATCGTGCAAATTACAGTTCGACAAGTCCAACGATTGAAGACTGTGCAAATTATGACCAAGTGTATTTCCAACGTCCAAATGCCACAACTCGTTGTCAGCAAGTACCAGCTGCCTGAGGTACAAGTTCCTCGCGAAAGCGTCGCCAGGCAGATTGGTAATTCCAGTCTTTCTGATGTTCAAATACTCCAGACGGATCAGCGGTGCCAATAAATTCGTCCAACTTATTTTACGTAGATCATTCTCTGCCATTTCAAGTTCTCGAAGATTCTCCAGATGGGCGAAAGCGTCAGGAGAGACGTGAGTCAGGTTGCAAGCGTTCAGTTTCAGGTACTCCAGATTGGTCAGATGATCGAACGGGCCAGGCTCGATTACTCCAAGAGGATTGTGAGACAGGTCGAGTTTGTTCAGATTGGTCGTGTTGTGGAAGAATTGCGTATTCAGACGTTGGATGCCACATGAGTTCAGATCGAGGTAGAGGAGAGTGCGACAATTTAAGAAATGACCCTTCACCTCGTCCAATGGGTTGTTCTGAAGCTCCAGCGTAATGAGACCTGGACTGTCCCTGTTGAACGATTAAGCCCGTAATTATAGTATTGTGCATGGATGACTAGACAATTATTTTATGTTCCTCTGTGTTCTTAATTTATGCTGGAGCTAAGAGAGGATCTTAAAATGAGTTTCTTTCTTGCGTTGCACGTGTAACAGTTAATTTTTGCCTATTCTTTAAGGTGTTCATGCAAACGAAGTATGTCGAACGAATGCTTTGCATCACTTTGAAAATAAAGTTCAGCTAAAGCACGGTATACCAAAAGCGAAATTATCTTGAAAGCTTAAAAAAAGAAAAAAAAAAACGTAAGTAACTAGAAGTTATTTTTATAAAGTTTAACATTGTTCTACTAAATGAATACATTCGTTTATTACCATAATAAGGAATTGCGTTCGGAATAAGAACTTAATGGATCGATAAGCTTAGAAATTACTTACTTAACGCATAGCATTATTAAAAGTGTCCACCGTTTAGATGCACATTACGTAAGAGGTATTCAAGGTAACATTATACAACCGCATTTATCGGTAGTATTTTTATATAAATTTACCAATTAATAATTTTTGTACAAGCTACGGCGAGTATAGTAGGCTTCCTATGCTTAAAAAAGAAAAAATTAATACTGATATGGTATTCAAATGCTTTTTTATGCAATAAATGCAGTTTACTCTTATGAAACCAGTTTAATATTTATATTCCACGTTGAATTGGTTCAATTTGCATAATTTGCAAATTTTTATATTTAGAATGGATTTTGCGATATATTTGCCAGTGATATTTCAATATTTGCTTGATAACATAAAAATTAACGTGAATACAAAACAGCCCAGATAACTCGGAACGATCACGATACGTATTTACATACATAGTAATATCAAATATCGCAAAAATAAACGGTATTTTTTTTTTTTTTATTTCATGAAGGCACGAAAATATAAATGTGAAACATTGAACAGCGTTTAAATTATCTTTGTAACGTTCCGAAAAACCTACTGCAATATTATTCTATCGCTATTGGTACGTGTAAGAATTGCAGTATTACACTATTATTATCAACAATCAGAAATTTCTGGATATTTTGCAACGATAGAAAACAAAAAGGAATATTTCAGATAAAATGAATTATTAAAAATTTCAAATCACATATTCTCGTAAAAGCATTGATACATTTAAAATAGCATAAATAAATCAAGTTTTCCAACAAATTTTAATTGCCGAAAGTGAATTTCTTTTCTTTTAGCAGACAAGTGCAACAATGTTTGTTTATGATAGCACACGATATCCATGGGAAATGAAACGAAGAAAAAAAAATTGAAAACCTCTTACCTGAACGCCTCGGGATCGATATGAGTGATCGCATTAAATGAAAAGTCCGCCTCTAGCAGGTATGTTAATCCGGCAAACGATTCATGCTTGAGCTCGGTCAATCGATTATGTGCCATCTGGAGACGCCTTAGCTTGATCGAATGCGGAAATGGACCGACTTGTGCGATGTTGTTGCCATTCATATCCAAAATGTAGACGTTTAGGCTAAGCTCGTCATATGGGATAACGGTCAGATTGCTTTCAGAACAGTCGGTCACCCAGTTGACGCGAAAATAATGACAATGACAGTCCACGGGACATTCTTGTTCCACCAGCTCGCCGTTATAGGCGAACGACGATGTTCCAAGTATAGCCACTAATAATAGTAGGCCTAACATCTTGGTAAATGCGTAATATCTACAAACAAAGAGAATCGTCAGGACCAATATTTTCAAAATATAAATTAGCGAACGTAGAATTAGTTAATGAAAAAATTATTTGTATATTATATTAAAAATATAGAAATAAACGATTACGTTCTTTCGTTAAAGAAATTTTCACGTAATGGCGAAGAATTTTTATGTGTAAATCGTGAATTTTTATACATCATTAAATGTGAACGCCAGATGCGATTGACAAGTTGTGTCAATTTCTGTATCTAACATAAAGTTTGTAAGTAAGTTTATCTTCCCAAGAGTTCCTGCAAAGCGTCACCGCAACGAAAACACACACCGTAATTCGGAAAAGAAAACTTCTTCGTGTCTGCAAATACAAGATTTTCCCGTTCTCAAACAGAACGTTCGATGTTCAGATTTGAATAAAGTTCGAAAGCTGGAAGTTCCGTAACCTACTTCAGAGTCACCCTATTCGTGTAACAGAGGCTATCATCCCACATGTGCGCATCTGCGATACAACATAAATGTTATTACGGGCGAAACCTCAGTGAAATCAGCAATTGTCGTATTTGATTAAAAGTTAAATTGTAAACATTAAATATTACTGACGTTACGTACAACGGGTTAACGAGCCATAGGATAGTTACTTTAATTACTTCATTGAGCGCAATACATACAGATTTACGGATGAATACAATAGAGAAAAGGAGGGAAAACGCTACCGCCACCACCGAGATTTACTTCGACCAGTTGCGACGACGATGTTCATTGTAGTGTATTGCCAACAAGATAACTGGTGAGCACTAATGGTTTAAAGCAAGTGGAGCAATTGTCAGTTAGGAACGGACTTTGCAATTGGCGGTCGGTAATTCCGAGCAACAATGCACGGCGCCACAGGTCGTTGAGCCAGAATCGTTAATCGTTTCCGTAAAGCGCTCTTCACTGGTCTTTCCTGCTGTTTTCAGGTACCTCTTGTTTTACAAGAGAAAAAAAAATGGCATTGAAAAAGCTCTACTGTTCGCCGGACCTATTATTATCGTTAAAATTCTTTGGTAACTGCAGTTATCCGTTACTCGAGACACGAGTTTAATTGGTACACCATTCTTCTATTGGTAAGTAACGATTATCTCGAAAGAAGATACGAAATCTTAAAGATCGTCGATAAAACCGTTCACAAACCGATATGGAGTTTCATGGTACGAGTAATTCGAATGAATATTGCTTAAAATGTAGACTAAACGAAAATACAGCAAAATTATTATTGTCAAAGGTAAATTATGTGCATATCTATTCACGATACTAATAAACATATGCTTCCATCCATTACCGTTGGTCCGCTGATCAAACACGCATGCCTAATGGAAGTAATTTCTACGCATTAAATTCCGAGCACAATCATCTTCATTACGACGATGAATAACATTCGAGGAAATTTTCATGTTGGCCAACGAGAAGCCGCGTACAAAGAAAGGTGGCGACGCCTCTGGCCAGTAGTCAACTTCACAGACGAAGCTCAGAGGAAGGCTTTCCGCCAGAATGCTACGCGTTGCCACGCTTCACTGCCCCTTCAACTCTCTGCGTATAGTTTGCCTTCGGCCTAGACCATTACTATCCCCAAAAGAGCAGAAAGGGGGCGGAAGGGGGATGTTCGAGGAAGTGTATTTTCCCCTTTCGATTCCTCCTTGTATTTCTCGCTGTCGCCTCGCCTTTGGCGCCACAGATCCTTCGTTTTTGAATTCTATCCGAGCCAGGAACTCTCCTCCCCCGACGTGACGATGGAAACGGTGCGTGTGGGGATCAAGTCATTTGCATTCAGACTCCGGGCGAGACATTCATACTTTTTGCAAATATCGTCTTCTTTATACATGCCACCTTTCGCATTCGGGATTTTCAAACACTGATGGGAAACGGGGAACGCTCCCAGGCGGAATTCACGGGAAATCTGACTGCTTTCGTTAGACCGACCGATTCGCTTTTTCTCTTCCGTCGAAAGTTTATCAACAGTCTCACCAGCCGGTTTTTTCCGCTGAAACCTTTTTATCTGCCTGAGTCGGTAACACGTCGACGGCGCGCCTCGTGGCCACGATACTAAATGCAAAGTCGCAATAATCCTCTATCGTTCTTGCACTCTCTAATCTCTTTGCATGAGACATGATTATGTAAACTACGATATAATGCACTTCCTGCAGCTTGCAATTTCAACTGTTCTCACTGCGTATCGAATATTGGTACGAAAGATTCGCTTTTTTTTTATTTCTATCGAATAACATTTGTAATGTATACAAATTTGTAATTTTTGAATTTTGTGATATAAAATAAAAACTTTATGACATTGCTACATATTTATATTCTAAATGAAATTTTTCACTTCAGTTGACATTCACTTGTCTATGAACGTTAATCAACTATATATCTATGAATTACTTTTTTAATATAGATCGTATTTTACTTTCTGTACTAAGGACAAGCAACACGCTTCAAGTTA